CTGCAGTTAGTTACACGAATTCAAATATGGAATGAAATCGGATAGGGATGAACGGGTTTAAGAGTTTTTAAGAGTTTAAGAGTTTTAAGAGTTTTTAAGAGTTTTAGCCAAATGCTTTATAATATAGTATATATATATATATATATATATATATATATATATCCCATATAATTCATATGAATGGGTCAATCCCACACAGATGTAGGGGCCTTTCCTCTACCTCAAGGGGTAGACTCTTGAGAGTTTGTTTTCCTGAAGACTCTCGTCTTGTAAAACCAAAAATCAAAATGAAAACAAGAAAGGAAGCTACTGGTGAGAGTGAGAGTCTAGAGATGCACAAGGCCCGGGCTTCTTGGAGCCTGGGCCTTCCTAGCCCGTTTTCAGTGAAGAAAAATGGCCCGGGCCAGGCGTTGGGGTTGAAAGGGGTGGATTGGGCTTTTGAATGCTAGACCTTTTTGGGCTTAACCGGGTTTTTAGGTTGGGCTTCTTCGGGCCTGAGCCTAAGCCCAAGCCCAAGCCCAAGCCCAGGCCTGTCCCCAAAATTTCAACCTGGCCTAAACTGGGTTCGGTTTCACTAGGCTTGGGCTGGGCCTAGACCAGGCTTCAGACTTGGGCTTTTTATGCAGCTCTAGGTGAGATTCTGTAATCAAGCAATAGGTACAAAAAACAGAAAAGGTAGCATGGACTAGAGATGGCCAAATGGGCCCGGCCCGGCCCGTAACCGGCGGAGGACCGGGACCGGAGAAAAGAAAAAGTAGTGTACAAGAAAAGAAAAAAGCCAAGACTAGTGTACTGTAGAAATGACAGGATACAATGGAACACTAAGAAACATAAAAAGACGATCCCTCTTCCTGGATTAACCAAAGAATTGTTCTTTCTACACGATATGTAGATATACAAGACACGACAAACGCTCTAAATTGCCTGGATGGATTCTGTCACATCTGCGTGATGCACATCTGAACTTGAGTACCGATATGGCAGTGCATATAGCAAGAGAGGTATATCTTGCGTGATCCAAAATTCCTTATATCATGCATAATATTTATATACAACAAATGCTCATGCATACTCCTCGGTAAAGATGAACGGGCCTGGGCCTTCCAAGCCTGCTTTCAGTGGGTAAAGAAAAAGGTCCTGGCTTTTTCAGGTTAGGCTTTGTTGGATCGGGCCTGGACCTGCTTCCAAAATTTCAGCCTGATTGGGCTTTGAGGCTAGGCTGGACTGGGTTCAGGATTGCCAGGCCTGGGCCTGCCCCCAAAATTTTGGTTTGATCAGGCTTTGAGGCCTACCCTGTACTAGGCTTGCAATTACTAGGCCAGGGCTTTTTCAGGCTAGGCTTTATTGGACCGGGCCTGGGCCTGCCCCCAAAATTTTGGCTAGATAAGGCTTTGAGTCCTAGCCTTGACTGGGCTTGGGATAACTAGGCCCGGGATTTTTTCAGGCCAAGCTTCGGCTTTGTTGGACTGGGCTTCGGCCTGGACTTGCCCCTAAAATTTTGGCCTGATCAGGTTTTAAGGCCTAGCCTGGACTGGGCTTGGGATTACTAGGCCCAGGCTTTTATGGGTCGGGATCAGGCTAGACCCATGTCGGGCTTCGGGATTTTTTCTACATCTCTAGTCCTTACCTCTTGGGAGGCTATGCTCTACCAGTAACCTGGGTACCAATGACCCTTTGGTACTGAATTTCAAAGTTATTTCCTTATACTTGCAGTTTTTGAGGAAGATGGCACAACCATACGACAAAACTGGTGGTGGCGGAAAGAAAACTCTTCTGTCACAAGACGATTTGGAAAAGATGAATGGTGTCGAAGGAATGATGTTTTGAGGATAGCTTGCACAATCGAACATATCGAGATAAAGAATTGATGCAACCGGAAAGAAGTTTTGTTCGTAGTTTTTAACCTTATTAGCAGCCCGTTTTTGGAGGGTGTGTTGTATCCTAGCCGTTTCCAATCTTTGTCGAGTATTTGTGTTGCTAGGTTATGAAATAGTGCTCTAAAAGGAATTTTTGAATTCATGATTAGATGATATCTCCTTGGGTTCTTCGTTGGTAGATGACATATTTGCATATATCCCACCCCTTCTAAACCTGGTTTCGAGTGGGATAGACTGATGGATTGCTTACCGACACAAATGGGACAAGTGTTAATAGGGTAAGAGTGTCGTTTGGATTGGCACTAATTACTAAACCGAGTAAGGGTTGTTTGGTTGGTTTTTCATCAAGTATTGTATAGATAAAACTATCTATCTGGATTAATTTGTTTGTATAAATTGAAAAGTTTTTGTTTGAAAGAGTTTTTTCATAGATGAAAGGAGTGTGTTTTTTTTTTTGGGAGGGACAGGATTGGGAAAACTTGACTTTTTGCATTTCCCTTAGAATCTTACTAAATAAGTCACTTTTTATATCATTTAATTTACTATCAAATAGTCATGGAGAGTTTCTCCCTTATCTTACTAGGTCAACATCTCTGACTGATAAAAGGGGCTTGGTAAACATCTGGTACATCATCTCTAACCTGGTAAGAGAAGGTAAGCATGTAGGAAAAAAGCAGCTCTTTGAGATATCCGTGTGAATGAGACGATCTGAAAGAATCAACAAACAACACGATAACAACATTACATTTGGAATGCCAACTAGAGATGGGCAAACTGGTTCCTATGTTTTGGTTTCAGTTAACCTATTACATAGGCCCGGGTTGCCCATCTCTAGTCCCAACAACGGTTTCGAGTTTGGTTTAGCATCTAATATATATTTATTTTCTTTACCCGATTTATCATTATGTCACGTTACATTATTGTACCATCAAATAACAAGTCTTAATGGTATAGTTAATAGGCATCATGATGTTCAAATATCAATTGATGACGTAGAACACTTTTATTTAAGGTAAAGTATCATAAGAAACTGACTTGCTCATTACACAACACATCTTTGTCACAATTTGGGGGAAATTTTACCAACAATTCCAACCGATCACGCATAACCTAGTTTCAAGGACATCAGTGTGAGGTTTTTTTTTTTTTTTTGGCTCACTTAACAGCTGAGACTAGTGGGAGCCCGAGATCTAACCCGGGGCCTATCTTGTATTTAGACAAAATCGTCCCACCTTTGCCAACTGAGCTACACGTCGGAGGCCATCTTTGTCACAGTTTATTAGGCATTATCATTATAATGCCATTTGAATAATCAGAGGTGAGCAAGTGGGTTAAAGCTTAGAAGTGTCATTACAATGACGGTCCAGGTGACGATTTTTTTGAAGTTAGACCGACTAAGATTTATTATTTACACTATATTATAAAGCATTTGACAAAAACTTTTAAAAACCACTTTTTATGCATGAAGTACTGTTTATTGATGSATATTACTTAAAATTCAAGATTACAAGTAAATTGTGCATAAATATAACTTATTAAAGCTTCATGTTTGAATTTGTATAATTAACTGTAGATAAATATAATCAAATAGTGGATAAACATTTCATTTTAAAAAATAAAAAATTTAAAATATAATTAAGATAATCATTGAGTTCTAACAAAATATTTAATTATTATTTTTATAAAAAACCTATATTATTAAACCAAAAATAAAAAAAGAATTAAAGAAATACAGAAAAAAATGAAAAATTTTAAATAGTGAGTTTGGTACTAATATCAATTTTTTTTGTATGATATTTTCATATTTATATTTTATTCAAAATTTAAAAACATTATTCTTTTCTCAAAACCACGTAAAACCGTATTATAACATCGACAAAGAAAAAATAAAACGAAATATTAAAATAGAGATGTATCTCGTTGCATTATGCAAGTACCATTCTAGTATTATAAAATGTACAAAAAAGTCAATGTCTAAATCCCGATCTAGAAAACCCCAGGTCTAGTGAGCCCGAAGCCCGACCCAAGCCAAGCTTCAAAGCTCGAACAACCTAAAATTTTGGAAGCAAGCCTAAAAATCCAATTAAGTTTAATCAGACTTTTTTTAAAACCTCAAAGTCGGCTTGGACCTAAAAACTAGGCCTTTTGCTTTACTCACGCTTTTCAACCAATTAAGTTTAATCAGACTTTTTATTATTAGTTGATTTTTTGGTAAAGGTGAATTTAAGTGTAATAGCTAGTACAGACTGATTAAAAAAAGCAACGTCTCCAAAAAAAATTTTTGAAGTATATAATATTTATATATGGCAAATGTAACAAATAAACTCACACACCCTCTTCATCTATGGTGAGGTTTGAACCCCTGACCTCCTAGAAGGCCAAATGCTACGATACCGTTAGGCCAAAGTCCCTTTGGTAACGTCTCCAACTTTATCCGTAAACGAATCCTATCTTGATTGATTCCCAAAAGTTATGAAGAGAAAGTATAAGTGCCGGTTAACTAAGGGCTTGTTTGGTTGCATTGTCATTACATCCTGTATGGATTAGTTTGTCTTTATAGATTGAGAAGGTTTTTGTTCAAAAGAGTTTTTCATTGATGGAACAAGCATGTTTTTTTATTTAGAGGGGCAGATTTGGGGGGGGGGGGGGAACTTATCGTTCTGCATAAAACTTCTCTCTACAAGCTTACTAAATAAGTCATATTTTATATCATTAAGCCACTATCAAAAAATATTTTATAACTGACCGTATAAGTTGTAAGTCCTGTTAAGCACATTAAGTTGTTAAGAAATAAATAATAAATAAGGAAAGGATATAAATAATGAAAGAAAATATAGATTATTGACATGTAAATGAATGAATGTAGAAGGTGATTAAATCATGTTCCCCACCTGGAATTAAATCACTTGAATTTATGTTGAGGGATGGGTTTTGGACACAAGTGAGGGTCCCTCTTTATGCTTTTCTATCATGTACTTCCAACAACACATTTACATTTATCCTCCTCTTCTCATTCATTTATGCTTTTCCTCTTTTCATTTCATTTATACATATTTTGATTATATATATATATATAGAGAGAGAGAGAGAGAGAGAGTAAGGGAGAAAGGATCATGCGAGAAATTGATCAATTTACAAGAAGGCGAGAAGTTCTAAGATCATACATGATTGCTTGTGATATGAGCATGTAATCATATATGTTTGCAAGGCTTTTCTTCCACTCTATACCCGAGTTCAAATCTTGCTAGTGTCATTTTCTTAGTCAAATGGTGCCCACTATTTGAATTTTTTTTATTGTATTTGTTTCTTATAGTCAAATGGTGCCACCCTTTGAAAAAAATTCTGAGTCCATCCCTATTTGCACGGTCTTTTCTCTCCTTCCAAGCGTAGGTCCTAGTCTTATTTGTATCATTTTCTTAGTTTTTAATTATGTTTCTGAAAAAACACAAGACCTCACATAAAAAAAGCAGGAAAATTAACCAACAAACTACCGATGATTTTGTAAAAAAAATATCCATAGTTTCGTTTTTTATAGCAAGGTGGGAACCGAAGTATTCAAGAGTCAAGACCCATGGTGTAGATAACATGAGCAAGCATCCAAAATCCGCATAATTTTCAGGTGAATTTCGCAAGATGGGAACCCTGGCAAAGAAGATCAGGATTCTGTAGGGGCAGGTTTCATGAGGAACCTAATATTTTAGGAACTTGGGAACCACAACGGCATATTCATCAAGAATATGAACGTGTTATTTATCATGAATGTGGTAACATATTTATGATTCATGATGAATGACACGTATATATTCATCTTGAATGTGTTGTTTATGATAAATATTTATCGTGAAGAGGGACACGTCGCACGCTATGGACGATTCCCGGTTCCTAATCAATTTTGGTTTCCTATCATAACTTCTGAAAGAAACATCATGCAAACCTACGTCTGATGTGGGAGAAAAGCCATGCAAACCGACTTTATCACAAAACTTGTGTCATTATTGTAGTTTCAAGATATATACGGTTGCAAACAACAAAACGAAACGGTATCTACAGCTACCGGCTACCGAAATCCATTCATCAAGGTCATGACTACCACAACACATCTCCTAACCCTAATCATTTTGCCTACGGCCATGCCTATTGTAAGCAAAGCCTTACAACTACAGACGGCAAAACCTGTTTAGATTTAGCTGATCGGATCGATGCTCTGGCGGTCCTCCGTATTTTGTGCCATCAGGTATGACCAATTAGCATCCATACCAGCCTCGGTGATCAAAATATTTAGTAATTTTGTTCAGCGTTGGTGAGTTTCACTTGAATCGTCGTGAACTGCTTGATTGACCTAATAATTTTGCTTTCGCCCTCACATATTCGTTCTATTCAACTTCAATACGTGAATCGAATAACGAACTGATCGAAGCATTGTTATGATCCGAAAACTGAAAGGAAATTTGTAACACTAACCTTTCCGATGACGAATCGAACTTGCATCCACAACAATCTGCACATTCGTTTGCATTTTCGAACATGAATCTGCAACTAATCCATACAAATAGCAAAATCAACTCACGTTGAGTTGCACGGATCAAGTATACAAATCAAAAGTTTTACGAGCAAATGGTAGTTGAAAATGGAACCGCCAATCGAAGAAGAGTTCAATTCCACGGATAAATGAATTTCAAATTGGGAAATTTATTAAAATATCAGTTTTTTAAAGTTGGTTTTTGTGAATCCAGCTAAAAAGACAAATGGATAAACGTATTTATATTAATTTCTTATTATACTATTGTATTTTCAGTTTTTCTTATTACAATAATATAATTTCAAATTATTTTTTATTAGAGCATTGTATTTTGAAAAATCTACCTAGTATAATAATGGTAACTCGTTACCTTTTAAATCGGTTAACTCCAGTTTTTTTTCCTTACATGGATTAAATGAGGTGACAAAAATGACACGTCATTACGATTACGTGGCAGTAATAAAAAAAACCTCTTTCAAATTTTTTAAATAATTTTCTCAATTGTCCTGTCGATTATTCATATCCCACCAAATTTTTTTTTTCATTGCTATCTTTAAAAAGTCCTTTCGAAAAAATTTCAATTTTATTAAATTGTATGCATATTAAATATTCTAGAATAACATTTTTCTAACAAATGTGATATATTTTTTTCAAGATAAATATTTTATTTTAAATAAACGTAACACTTATTATTTAATTTTTTTAATTAAAAAAAACATTTTTTAAGAAATTATCGATATAAAATGTGTTTTATAAATTTTCTTGATATTATTATATTAATAAATATATTAAATAATTTAGAAATAATCTAATTAATTTAATATATTTATTGGTTAATATGTCAAGTCAAAAAAAATGTAATATATTTTTTTTAAAAATAAATATTTTTTGTAGATAAACGTAATAATTCTTATTTTTTTTAGTTCAAAAAATACATAATTCAACATTTTCTTTAAATAATAGTGGGATAAATTATGATCTACAAGTTTTTTTTCTTTATATTGTTATATTAATGAATAATTTAGATTTGTTTAATTAAAACATTTCACGTCAACATGTTACACGTGGACAATGAGGTGGCACAAAAACATGGTATAATTGATAAATTTAAATCAAAAAGTTATCCGATACCATAGTAGGTAATTTTACAAAGTACAATATCCTAATAAAAAAATAATTTAAAAATACATTCTTGTAATAAGAAAAAAAAATAAAAATTATATTTGCCCTAACAAATTATTTTTTATTCTTCTACCATTAAGAATCCTTGAAATTAAATTTATAGAAGAAAAAATTAATATTTTATAAAAAATTAATATTTTAATAATATAATTTATATGTAAGCTTCAAAATAAAGAAAATATTGGGCATGAAAGTAAAAAGCCATGAAATTGCAAATTGGTCCCCACATTTACAAAATATTGCACCAAAGTATGTATGTATATTTTGTTATTCAATTAGAAGATCTATGAATCACCATTTTCTGCACACTTTAATCCCCCCTCCAATCCCCTCTATATGCAAAATTTCCCCTAAATCTATACAATTCTCATCAATGCAATTGGCACCCAATTCCGATCACAACTCCGCCTTCAACCGCCGCATCCAGCCTTCGGGATCAAATCTTGCCGCCATACTCCGCGATCTACCGCCACCAGCTATCTTATACCACCACGCTCGATGCCCGAAACGCAGCCTCCAAAAACACCCTTTTTACGGTTTCTTTACTCGAGATCAATCGAAGACGGAGCGGAAGCGGTGGCGGCAATGGAGTATTCGTGTTTTAGAAAGACGGCATACAGAAGCTCGTTCCAAGAATCCGGGACGCCCGGTAAGCACCAATGGCTGCAGTCTTGCCTGCGTAAAGGTGCAGGGCCACCAGCGTCCGGCCCCAAATAATATAACGACGCATGACCATCTTTTCGCTTCGATGACATGTACGTCACGTCCAATAACTCTAGTTTCGCTATGAACGCTGACTCATTCTGGCGTTCCGATAACACCGACCCAAATATGTTGGGGAAAAACATCGCGCCGGATGAAACCGGCGATGAACTCAAGTCGGGAAGCGTTTCAAGGTGGCAGCTACCACCGGATTTCCAATCACCTCCCCTAAAAACGACATTAATAAAAACTCGTGTAAAGGTTCATGAAACACAACCAAACCAATTGGTAAATCCCATGCAGATGTAGGGTACAGGGTCTCAAGGTATGATGTATTTAAACTTTGTATATATCCTGAGAACCGACGCTGTACCCCGTTTGAAAAAACAAAAATCCCCCCGAGAAAGTCCGGGCCTATCAAGCCCGAAGCATTTGACATGCTATAAGCCTGACCAGGCCATTTCTTTAAAATCCCGTAAGCCTAAAAAGCCCGAGTCAGGCTTATTTTCACGCCCAAAACCTAGACCAAAGCAAAAAAGCACGGGCCTAAAAGCCCAATTGAGCCAATTTTCTAAAAGCCTTATTGAGCCAATTTTCCCACCAAAAAACCAGGCCCAGCTCGAAAAAGCCTGGGCATATTTTTTTTTAAGCCTGAAAAAGCATGGAAAGCTCGTCGGGCTCATTTTCGAGCCCAAAGCCCATGCCTAAAAGCCCAATTGGGCCTTTTTTAGAAGCCTTAAAAAGCCCAATTGAGCCTGTTTTCACAACCAGAGACCAGGCCTAACCTGAGTACGGCCCAAAAATCCGGGCATATCGAGCCCGAAGTCAAGGCCCAAGCTAAAAGCTCGATTGGGCCATGTTGTTTTCAAAAGCCCGGGCTCGATTTTTTCTTACTGAAAACCGTAATCAAGCAACGGATTTATGGAAACATAAGGTGAATGGAAACCTGAAATGGACGGGAGAAAAGCCTCGGAAGATGACTTGAGTCTTGTTCGTATCGACTTCTTTACTGATCCAATTCAAAACCGTTTCCATCGATCTCTTGTATGCAGTTCCTACGCTCATATTCATTTTCACATCTCCGGATTCTTGAAAGTAACATCCCCTAAAAAGGCCAACAAGAACCCTAAAAATCAGATCAAAGAATCGAAAGAAACAATCTTGAAACACATTCCAAGGTCATTTTAACTTCAAAAAAGTCGTATTTCGTATTAAAAGTTTATCAAGATTCAAGAACGCTTACTCGCGTGTCGTTTTTTCAGAATTCCACCAATGCCCGGTGTTGAAAACGATCACGTCCGCACCTTTCCATTTCCCGGCAAACCAATCCATCTGATCGAGCTTCAAAGTGGTTCGAACCTCTTTTGGTGAACCAGCCGGCGGTCTGCTCTGAAGAACCAGATACGGAGCTCGGTAATACTCGATCGTACAATTGAAATCAGCGAATTTAAACACCAAGAAACCCGTGTGTTTCGTGATTGGTCTACCATTCACTTCATATATTGAAGATTTGTTAGAAACAGCAGTTGATAACAAACACAAAAGCGATTCCCATTGATTTCTCCCAATCGAATCGCCAACGAACACTAACCTACGGTTTCGTAGTCTTTCCAGCATCGTTACTGCATCGAATCTGCATCCGAAAACACCATCAGAACCAGAAATCGATGAGTTTTTCATTCATAATCATCAAATCAACAACCACCCTTTTGAAAGATTCAACAAAAACACATAAATCTCCATGGATAAGTCACAAATCAGTGATCTTTAACAATCCCATGAACTTCAAACAAGAACATATGATGATTATGGATATCAAAAATCCTTCAAAATTAACAAAAACCCAATTGAAATCTGTTGTTGAATCTTTCAAATTCACAAAAACCCAATTGAAATCTGTTGTGGAATCTTTCAAATTTACAAAAACCCATTTGAACTATGTTCATAAAACTTGCAAATGAACATAAACCCATTTGAAAATTTCAAAACACACATGAATCTCCATAGATAAGTCAAAAATCAGTGATCTTTAGCAACCCCATGAACTTCAAACAAGAACATATGATGATTATATATATTTGAAATCCTTCAAATGAACAAAAACCCATTTGAAATCTGTTCTTGAATCTTTCAACTTCCACAAAAACCCATTTGAAATCTGTTCTTGAGTCTTTCAAATGAATAAAAACCCATTTGGAAGATTAAAAAAAACACATGAATCTCCCTAGATAAGTCAAAAATTAGCGATCTTTAGCAACCCCATGAACTTGAAGCAAGAACATATCAAATGGAAAACCTAAAAAATGGCAGAAAAGATTCAAATTGAAGAAAACCCACTTCAACTTTTACATAAAAGCGCACACGAATTTCAATGGAATTTAGAGGGAAAAAGAAAGAGATATAACCTTGGCAAATTGCAATATTTGGGTTGCCATCTCCACTTTGTGTAGAATCTATCAATTCTACCATTTTCAGAACACCTAAAACCATCATCTAACAACAAACAATCTTTAGATTCATACAATGGATACCTCTCATCCCACACCCAATTTCCATCAAATATGTTACATTCGCCCCGACCCGTTTCAAGAAACCCAACGAGCTCTCGACCCGAACCCGAACCAGACCCGCTGAACCCAAACCAACCACGAACCCTGAACCCTCTGCTCACGGACCGATAATCCAAGAAAAACAAACACAAGATGAAACAAAGACTAATACAGAAACAACCAAGTTCAGATGGCTTCAATCTCTTGAATTTCTTCAAGAACTCCAATTGGGTCATCTCGTGTTCGGACCCTTTTACGGATTCTTAACCCAAATCACAAATTCAAAATAAAGGGTTTTATTATCAACCCAATTTGGGGATTGGGTCAAAAGGGGTTTCTTGAAAAAGTGAAAACCGTCAAGAAAAGGAAGAAGATGAACCAGAAAAAAAGGACCACCAACACACACAGAGAGTGATTTGTGTAAGGTTTAGCAACGGGAATCCGCCATTGGAAGACGCGAGGTGGGGCTTTTTGTAAGGAGAAAGAGGGAATCGAGAGAAAGAAAGAAATAGGACAGAATTAGGAGATTAGATGGGTGGGGCCAAGACAGACATTCATGGATTCACACATTGGGTGCGTGTTTTCTTGAATATATATCTTTTCTTATTATATATATACATATATATATATATATATGAGTGTGTGTGTGTGTGTGTGTGTGTGTAATGGTGTTGATGATGATTAGTGATGAGCCTGTAAGTTTTATATGAATGATTGACAGGTATAAAGAAGCAAATTTTGACTTCGAATTGAGGGAAAGTGGAGGAAGAGGGGGGGTTTCGTGGGGTTTAGTGGGGGAAGGAATCAAGAGTTTCCCCAAAATTGGTGGTTAATCATGACTTTTTAATACTTTCCCTTTCATAAAATCAAATTAAATCTTTCATGAAATCCAGGGTTTTTGTTTATATTTGATATTATTTTTATTTTTATTCGTTTTAGAATAATTAATAAATTGTATGAAAAAATAATGTATTTTAAGTAGATTTTTATTTTTAGTAACATATTCTCAAAACTATTATTTTATTATTTAAGATGTAAAGTTTTAAACATTTAAGTACTCATATAAATGGTTGAAGCATTAATCGGTTATCATGCTTATGTCACAAGTGATGAGATGAAATTGGGTAAAATTTAAAAGTAAGTAACTGAATTTTTAAATTTATTTTTAATTAATGTATAAATATTTAAGGATTATACATAAATAAAGTACACTGTTTCCAACAGTCATGTTATTTTAGAAATTTTGGAGATTTAAACAAATTTGGTTCCAACAACCATGTTAAAACTTTTCATTATGAATAGAGAGAAAAAGAGAGGTAACAGCGAAATTTCCATATATGAAAGAAAAAAGATAAATATAACATAGTATAAATGTATTAGAATATAACTAGAAGAGTATTTGTGCAATGCATCGAGATACATTTTCATTTCAATATTTCATTTTATTTTTTAGCCAAGTCGATATAATACGATTTTATGTGGTTTTGAAAAAACGTCAATGTTTCTATTTTTAATAAAATATAAAGTTAATAATATCATATAAAATTTGCAAAAAATATCAATATTAGTATTAAATTAACTATTTAAAAGTTCTTGTTCGTTTATTTTTTTAATTCAAATTTTTTATTATAATTTAATTTAACGTAACGAAGTAACTTAATTTAGGTTTAATAATATATTTTTTTATAAAGATATAATTAAGTATTCTGTTAGAACTCAATAATTATCCTAATTATATTTTAGATTTTTTTATATACTTTAAAATGAGATGTTTATCCTCTATTTGATTATGTTTATCCGCAGTTAGTTATACGAACTCAAACATAAAGCTTTAACAAGTTGTATTTATGCACAATTTACTTATAATCTTGAATCTTAAGTAATATGCAAATCAATAAACAGTACTTTATGCATAAAAATGGTTTTTAAGAATTTTTGTCAAATGTTTTATAATATAATATAGATAGGGATGCTTGATTTTTTATTCATTAAGCCAGATATTTTATTAAGCATTTAAAACCATCTATCTATACTATATTATAAAACATTTGATAAAAGCTCTTAAAAATTATTTTTTATGCATGAAGTACCGTTATTGATCCATATTACTTAAAATTCATTATTACAAATTTTTTGCGTAAATACAACTTATTAAAGCTCCATTTTTAAATTCGTGTAATTAACTGCAGATAAACATAATCAAATACAGGATCAACATTTATTTTAAATATAGAAAATCTAAAATATAATTAAGATAACCATTGAGTTTTCACAAAATGTTTAATTATTATCTTTACAAAAAATTATATTATTAAACCAAAAATAAATTACTTTGTTATTAAATCTAAAATTAAATCATAATAAAAATTAAATTAAAAAGTTACATAAAAAAAGAACTATTAAATAGTTAGTTTGATACTAATATCATTTATTTATTTTTAAATTTTTATGTTATTTTCAAATTTATGTTTCATTCAAAAATAAAAACATTACCTATTTCTCAAAATCACATAAAATCGTACTATATCGATAAAGTCAGAATAAAAATTAAACATTAAAATCGAGAATTATCTTATTGTATTGCACGAGAACCCTTCTAGTAATAATTAATTTGTTTGTCTATATAAATTAAAATAATTATCGTTTATTGGACTATAAATAGCGGCCATATTTAGGAACCTAATCACAAACAAGACAAAGAAAAAAAAATGGACGATTGTGATCACTTGGTGAACTTGGTCAATCTAATGCCATGTGTCAATTATTGATTGGTACTTTATTAATTTTGTTTTTCTAGAAAAAAGAATACCAAAATTCATTTGTTTGGGATTAAAAATGGTTTTTTGTATGTGTTTGTTTCCTTTTATCATTGAATTATTTATTTTATAGATATTTATATTAACTTTTTTTTCTCTTCTTTATTAACATGGATATCTAATTCGCTATGCGAGTCGACTAATCTCAGAGCAACCACCCGTAGCCTGGAGTGGCCGCCAGGGACGAACCTAGAATTTTTTTCAAACGGTGGCACCATTTGGCTATAAGAAACAAATACAGAGAAAAAAATTTAGATGGTGACACCATTTGACTATAAAAAACATATGTAGGGAAAAAAATTTGAACTATGACACAATTTGACCAAGAAAATAACACTAACATGATTCGAATTCAGGTCTGAGGTGGAATAAAAGCCTTGAAAACCAACTATACCAAAGAAAACTTATTCATATTGTAATTTCGAAATACATACGATGGCACACAACAAAGTAATACGATTTTTGCACCTTTCATGAACCTAAATTTTTTTACCCTTCGACGGAGAATTAATATGGTGGCACGTGCCACCATTGGCACCACTATAGATCCGTCCATGGTCACCGCATTTGAATCTATGTGACCATAAGGGGATTTTTATTCTTCATTGGATTCGAACCTGAAATCTCCAAACACTTTTGACCTTTGGAGTGCAAACTCAAACTAATCAGACATCATCCTTATGATTTTTTATCTTAATTCTTTGGGTCAAATAAATGAGTTTATATCATTCTTTCCAATTTTTTTCTATTAAATAAAATAAAAATGTTAAAGAATTTTGCATGTTTTATTCGATCGACTCAATTTGTGGTTTTCACGTTCTCAAACGTCAATTAAACCGGCCAAAACGATATGTGTGAAGGTGGTTTATTGTTTTTTTATATTAAATTAAATACTTTATTTTTAAAATAAATAAATACAGGATTTAAGTTATAGAATTGGGATCATATGAGACCAGCCTGTTTTCGTGAGACCATTTTTTTACACTTGAAACTTTACAACAAAACGTTGGGAAAGTAACCTTCACATTGTTCTTGCTATGTAGGTTCAGTTTTTTTTTATTTTCACAGCGTTTTGCTGTGAAATTTCAAATGAAAAAAGTGATCTCACGAAAACAGGTTAGTCTCACGTGAACCAAAAAAAATTTCAAGTTATAATCCAAAAAGTAAAATAAAAACCTTTTATCAACTACTGGATCTGAAAAACAAATGGTTTAAATTTATTATTTTACTAAATGATTGAATTAATTTTATAATGATACTGCTAATATTGCATCTCTAAAATAAAGTAGATGTTGGAGTTGAATATATTTTTTTTTATAAGACTTTTGATACTATATTTTAGTAAAATTATCGAATATATGTCTGAGATGCTTTAACTATCCTGTAATCGTGTATTTAGTTTTGGCGAGATGTAAAATTATGTATTATTCTCAACCGCTTTGGTTTGAATATGTGGATGGTTCATATGTGTTCCACGGTTCGCCTTTCTTTATTGTTCTTTTAAACTCGTCCTTATGCATACATACATACATATATGTGTGTATATATATATATAGAGAGAGAGAGAGAGAGAGTAACGATAAAATGCAAACCACTCATGTTTGTACAAACCGTGTAAACCATTCTCATCCGTCGATTTCATTGTTTAATCTTATGAAATTGTTTCATATAATACTTTTTTGATGAAGTTGTTTCATATATGGTTATAAAACTGTTTCATATAATACTTATGAAATTTTAATGAAACTGTTTCATGTATTTCTCTAAAATTAATATAATGAAGATGATAATATCCATGATTAACACCCTCCATAATCAAAATGATTAATTAACCTTTCATAATTACAAAAAAAATGAACAAAATTAAAAATTATGATTGGTTAAATAAAGTTTGGACAAAATAACGTGGTTTGCAAGTAAACATTCTCTCTCTATATATATACATACGTGCATACATATATACATAAATGTGTGTGTTTAAAATATTTGAGTCATTATTGTTTATTGATTATGTTATCATCATCCTTTTTCGTTTGAAAATAACAAGAAAGTTGGATTTAAGATTCAGTAGACAACGAGATAAAATTGAAACTGTAAAATTAAAAGCCAAAGATAATATGTTTTAGTTATATCTGAAGTTCAACATCAAATTGCAATATTTTTTAAGTACGATTGGCATGTGGTATAGGACGAACATGATAAAACAAAACTCATTGACCCACGTTTGCTGCAACAATTAGACTGGGATAAGACAGGATTAGTGAAACAAAAATACAGTTTTTTTGTCTCACCAAAATAGGAACATAAATTAGGGAAATGAGACAAGATAGATAAATTACTAAACTATCAATGTCAAGTTAAATCTTAAAACCTTCTGATTCTTTGACCCAGTTACCCTACTTTCGTCAGTCCAATATTATCCCTTTCAGTCCTGACGAATCTTGTTCGCGTACCAACTACAATCTTAGACAGGGGCGGACCTATGAATGCCCCCAGCGGGTCTCATGCACTCGCTCAACTGATTTTTCGGGTATAAAAAGTGTAAATGCTAAACTTTGAAAGGTGTTTTAGGATATTAGAAAATATAAAGGACGTCAACAAAAAACCGAAAAAAGTCTTTCAAAATCAACCAAAACCTTGAAAAAGTCTCTCGAAATCAACCAAAAAGTTTAAAAAATTTAGGAACCCGATTAAAACACATCAGATAACTTTACKTTATCTTGATCCACCTAAAAAATACCCACTCAAGCAAAATCTTTAGTTCTGCCATTCAAATAGTATATATTCAATCATTGTTTTTTTTTTTAAGTATATAATATTTATATACGGTAAATGCAACAAATAAACTCATACACCATTTTTCACTTGTTGTAAAATTTGAACCCTTGACCTCCTAAGAGGTCAAAAACTACGATGTTGCTAAACCAAAGACTGTTTAGATGGTCAATCATCATTGTTATCTACAACTATAAACGTGTTTTATTTATTTAATGATCAATTATCTTTCAAATACAATTAAAAACATTATTATTTATTTTATATTCGTTTCTTATTAAACAAGAAAAGAAAAGGAATAAACTCATAATTCATCATATAAATAAATATAAATTATGATGATTAAATGTATTATATATAATGTTGTGTATAGAGTGGCATAAAAGAATTCTTGTCTTCAAAGAATAAAATTCGATTTATTCCCGTTGACTAACAAAAGTCAAACCATACAAAATTAATAAATAAATAAATAAAATTATGATTAAATATTTCAATTGTTTAATTTAAAGAGAAAAAAAACAATTCATAGAAAATATTATGAGTGTGCAAAACCCGAATTATCCGAAATTCGAATCCAATCCGAACCGAAAACAATGTATTTATGTAAAGCCCGAATGCTCCGAAATTCGAATCCAATCCGAACCGAAAACAATGTATTTATGTAAAGCCCGAATGCTCCGAAATCCGAAAACCGACTTTTCAGGGAAAATTTGGGTCCGGGTTGGGTTTGATTGTTGGCCACCCGATCCGTCCGAGAACCCGAAATATATATACATATATATTATAAATAATATATAAATATACTTATTTATCTAATTATCTTTTGAAAATTCTAAAAATCTTAGCTAATCGTGTTTTCTTTTTAAATTTCTAAGCATACTATCGATTTACCAATCCTTTAAAGCGATTGGATATATATATATATATATGTATATATATATATATATACATATATATATATACATATATATATATACATATATTTTGCATTATAACTAAAGCTGAACCTGACCAACCCGAACCCAAAGCAATTCGAAATCCAAAATCCAAAAATCAAGGCTTGATTTCCATATCGAAACCCAATCGGGTTTTTAACCCAATTATCATTCAAAAAAATTTAGATTTACAATTTAAGAAAATTCTAATTTTAAGAAATATAATTTAGGGATCAACATGGTACACTACCATGTTTTATTCTTAATACCGTGTACTAATCAATTATAATTGGTATGTAAATATTATATTGTATATCGGCCAACTCTACTTGGTACTAAATTGGTACCAACTTTTGTTGGTTGGTAGGGTTTTATACCAACATCTTAAAAGTTGAAGTTTTAATTATAAATTCATTAACATAAATATAATCTGTTGTCCAAATAATCTAACACAAAATGTTCTAAATGACGTGAGTCGTGGCATGGTGGCGAGGTCAAGCATCGAGTCATACGAGTTACGACGTTTTTCAAAGGGTGCATCTTAACTTGGTTAAAATGTAAATAAAATTTAGGGTAAATTGTATCACATTCATCATCCATTTAATAGTCGGGTGTCACGTTTGGGAAACCGACGGTTTTTGTTGAGTTTTAGGCTGATTATACGGCGATGGGGTACACTTTGGTAAACAAGATCAAGCAGAATCCCATTGAAAATGTGCAATAAAGACAAAAGAATGGAAAAAGATAACGAAAAAGTGTTGATGAAAATTGCATGAATCGTGCCAAGACCAACGCAAAGCGGCATGATCGTGCATGTTAGGCAGAAGGTTGCACGGGTGGTGCATGTGCTCAGAAGGCATGACACAGGTCGTGTCAAATCAGTAAAAGAAAACGATGTTTTTATTCCTACCTTTTGAAAGCATAACTCTTTATGTTACGATGTTTTTATGATATGTTTATGTATACATGCTTCATATTTATGTCGGAATGTTGTTTTATGTTTTCAATTATGTTTTTTAAGTATATAATATTTATATACGACAAATAAAACAAATAAATTGCCGAATCTTTCTCACCTTTGGTGAGATTTGAACCCCTGATTTCCTAGGATGCCAAAGACTCACATACCGCTAGGCCAAAGACCATTTAATTGCTTTTAATTATGTTTTTGTTAGATAAATAGCTAACCCTGTTTTATATTTTGTTCAAGTGAAATTAAGTTGAAATATGAGATTATTAATATATAATCAAAATAGTGAATTTTTCCTAATTATAATTATTGAATTTAATAACTTATTCATACAAGGATTACATAACAGAAATAAATTAATAAACTTTTCATTAAATTAATATCTATAAATATTTGTAATAAATGTTTAATATATTTTTTTCTGAATTAAGACAAAAATTATAAGATCATATAAAAACTGCTTAATGAAAAAGAAAAACTTAACGGGAAATTATAAAATTTAGATCAACTTATTGATTAAGCTGTTGTGTGTGGGTTGTTAAAGGATTCGAGTATTTAACGAGTCATTCGAGCTTCAGTTCGTGTATTTTATGTTTAAGTTTAGTAATTCATGAATTCAACCGATCTTCAATATAAAATATAACTCGTTTAACTTAATGAGTTAAGCTCCATAACCCAATATTCGACTCAACTCATTTGAAGGCTCGACTAAAAATTTTAAGTCGACTTGCTTGAAATCTTGATTAAATTCTTTCAAGTTGAGTCAAGTCAAGCCGAGCTGAGTCAAACCATTCGATCACACACACTTTCAAACCAAACATGTTCATAAATCATCTCGATTAGATTTTTCGAGTTGAGTCAAGTCGAGTCGAACCAAACTACTAGAGCATACACATTTGGAACCAAACATGTTTGCAAATTATCAAGCTCGAGTCGATAAACGAGTTAATTGATCTCGAATTGGAGTCCAAAAACAAGCTTATAAAATTAGAATCATACGCACGATGTAAAGGTCAAATTTGTTGAACGAGCATCAAGCTCGAACATCTGGAAACAAACTTCGGGCTAGAGCACCGAGCTCAAGTCCGGTATTATTTTGGGAAATTGACTAAAATAGTCAATCTTCCCAACCAACTTCACTTTTTAGCCACTTTTTCAATAGAATTTCCATTTTAGCCGGAGTTTAGCAAAGTGGCTAAAAAGTAAATTTGCTTGATGAGATTGACTTTTTCAGTCAATTTCCCTATTATTTTCTCAAGTGGGGATCCAACAACCAGCTACTCGACTCGATTCATTAACACCTCACACGAGGAACCAAAAGAAAGTGCCGAAAACACAAGTAAATTCTATGTACACCATCGTCTTCAGAAGTTCATTATCACGTAAAAGAATAACGACTTCTGACACGGACATTTCAAGACGAACAATGAAAGAGGTTGGAAATCAAGAAACAAACGCTCGAAGAAAATAGCAACATAACGTCACAAAAGCGGTGATCCCGCCTAAAATAAACAATCGATCCAACATGCTTTCATATCGCATTTTTTCTTCCTTCATCTCGTTTTGCACTTTCGAGTACAAATGGCAAGACTCGAGCGCTAAGTTGTAATTCCTACTCCTATTACAGCTTAGCGCTTCTTTAAGCACGAGCAAACTATTCCGCCCGTTGACATGGGCCCCATCCATGTCACCGAGCTGCATACAAAGCTCGGTCAGTTCGAGGGTCGTGTGGACCCCACTCGCCTCGGTGACCCGAAACTTCATGGCGAGAATGCATTCGACCATTTGACACGGAAGAATGTCTTTGGCAGGGAGGATGGATCCGAACCGAAGCAAGAAATCGTTGTCGGTCGGCCAATGCCGTTGACCGCCCAACGGACTCCAGCTTGATAAATTGGCCGCTTGCTTCGCTTTCGTGTTAACGACTATCCAACTGAGTCTAATCCCGTCACGAAGCTCTTGCCAAAGCTTCCCGTCTTTCCTCTCTCTTTCCATGGAGGTTACGGGCGGCAGACCATCCACCACCGAAAGAGTAACACCGCCTGCACATATTGCAGGTCAAGACTTGTTCGACATTTCAAGAAACGATTAAACCCAAAATTTCAAGTAACGGTTTTCTTTGCAAGTTGTCAGAAACCTGTCACTACACAAAATCGGATTTACAGTACGCCTAATATGTCTAAAGGTCTGTCTATTAGTAGCTTAATGAACTTAATGGGACTCGCAACTTATTCGGTCAATTATACATATGACTATTTGATAGTGGCTCAATTGATATTAGAAAATGACTTATTTAGTTAGCTTCCAGGGGGAGCTTTATACAAAAAAATTCCAAACCTGCTCCTCCCAATTAAAAACACGCTCCTTCCATTCATGAAGAAATCCTCCCAAACAAAAATCCTTCCAATTTATACAGAATAATTAATCTACACTGAAAGCTTTATCCATACATGACTTAATGAAAACCAACCAAACACCCAATGCTATAATAGATTGCTTGTGTCCTATTAAAGTTTATATAACCAAACAATTGTATAAGTTGATAGGACGCTTTTGAGCATCTTAACAAGTTTTTTTCAAAATAAAACGTCCTATTGGTCTTTTTATATGGCATGCGAAGGATCGTGTGAGAAAGAGAGTTAAGATGAGAAGCGTAAAAAGGGATCTGGACCCTTGATCACATTTAATCTTAAACCCACCTAATCGCGCTTGATATAGGGATTGATCAAGTGCATCTCGGTGCATTTTATCCTAATGTGTATCCAATAGTGGAGATCCCTTCTTACGCTTCTCACATTAACAATCCTTATATGACATTATTTGAAAAAAGTGTCATATAAAAATAAACATCCTACAAAAAGATGTGTTCATACGACACTTCCCAAAAGTAAAAAAAATCCTATAAAACACCTAATAAGAAACTTCAATTTCAAAAGTTTCTGAAAAAACTCGTTAAGATGCCCGAGTACGTCCCATCAACTTATTGTAATACGTTTACCTATGACACACAACTCTTTACAGGTATAAAGCAGTCTATTGAACGTTTAGGGCCTCTTTCTTAGCAGCTTAATGGGACTCGTAACTTATGTGGTCAGTTATAGATGACTGTTTGGTAGTGACTTAATAATATAGAAAGTGGCTCATTCAGTAAGCTTCTAGGGGGGAGCTTTATACAGAAAACCAAGTTTTTTTTTCCAAACCTACCCCTTCCAATTAAAAAAACATGTTCATTTTATCTATAAAAAGCTCTCCCAAACAAAAATTTTCCCAATCTATAAATAGATTAATCCACATAGGCAGTTTTATCCATACAAGATTTAATGGAAAACAAACCATAAAGCCAGACATATTTGACGTTCTTTAAAGTCGATGACTCAGACATATTTGAATCCAAAGCTTACTTGTTGAGTTTTTGCAGGAACAAAGGAATGATCAAACTATGTATGCACCAGAAAGATGCAAAATTGTCTAGAAAGAGATCATTTATTCACAGATTTTAACCAAACCAAACCCAGAACATCCCAACGAATGTGGGTTCCGGGGTGGGATACGCATACCTGACCTCTAACCCAAAGAGTAGATTGGTTGTTTCCATAATTCCATGAATACCACCCCGGCTTGTGCAAAGTGTGCGAGAAAAAGATAAAATCTTGCTCAAAAAATACGTGGAAATAGAACATAAGAACATGGGGGGAGAAGGTACCTGTGTGATCCTCGCCTCTACCTGAAAACGTAAAAAGATCTATTCGAAATGGACAGTTGGAAAACCAACCATTAAAACCATTTGCATTTGGTATGCCCCAAATGACTTTCGAGCAAATCGTTTTATCTTTATATCTGATATCCACAATCGACACAAAATCCGATGGTGAAACATTTTCGAACTCATCGATATCGCCGTAGTATTCGGCTTCGGTCAGTTCTTCGGGATATTCGGGATAATCACTCCATCTGAATTCTGGAACCTCCGTGTTTACAATAAGCGGGAAACAATCTGCATAAAACTTTTTAAACCCTCCGATGGATGATATCAAATTCTTGACGTCATCCCTTTTTGTCGAAGGCCACATCGAAGAACACACGTCTTCCCATAACCGCTCTTCTTTAGACATCGAACTAAATGCCGCACAAGCACACGACGCACTGGCTAGGGTCGCACCATCGAGACGTTTTAGTATGTCGTAAAAGAGATCGCTGCTTAACGTACCCATATTTTCGATCGGTGAAACCGACATTTTCATAGTCCCCTAATCATCTGTATAGGTATTCTTTTAACTACAGTCGGAAAAAAAACAAATAACTAACCACAAATAAGGACTCATAAACGTTCAAATAGAAGTCGTTAATCTTCTATAAACACAAAATTCTGAAAACTGAAAGGATGGATGAAGAAAATTCCATCCTATAGCGTCAAAAGCAAGGCCACATTTTCATCTCGACATTCCGTCGGAGGTCGTGTCTAGGCGTATGATGTACGACAATCTGACCTCCACCCCAAATAATAGTGGTTGTTTCTGTGAAGACTAACGTGTGAAAAGTGTGTGAAAGAAAGAAAAACAGATGTGATAAATTTTGAAAAGCTAGTTAAAAAGTAAGCAATAACATAAGGATAGAAGCAAGTATGAGAAAAATAAAACCAAAGGAAACTACACAATCCCGGTCTAACTTAGGGCTCCGTAACCTAACTATCGACTTAATGAGCTTAATGGACTTAATGGGATCACAGCTTATTCTGTCAGCTATACACGACTATTTGGTAGTGGCTTAAGCTATACATGACTATTTGGTAGTGGCTTAATGAAATAAAAAGTGGCTTATACAGTAAGTTTCTTGGGGGACTTTATGCAGAAAACAAAGTTTTTCCCAAACCTAGCCCCCCATAATTAAAAAACACGCTTATCCCATCAATGAAATAACCTTTCAGACAAAAACCTTCCCGATCTATACAAACAAATTAATCCATATAGACAGCTTTATCCATACAGGAGTCAATGGAAAACCAAAAAAACATCCTCTTACTAAGGGGCTGTTTGGCAGTTGCTGAATGATTTAGTGCAGAATAGTTAAGAGGTCAGAATGGTTGAGAGGGTCAAATTGGTTAAGTGCTGAATGAAATAATGTTGTTTGGTAACTGTTCTATGAATGATAATAAATTACCATTTTAACCCTCTCTAATAAATTATCATCGAGAATCATCTAAACCCTAAATTCTTGCCCTTGTTCCTGGACCTTTCGATTGGAGTTTCGTATCCGATGGATTAACTCCGGTGAYCAGCCTGAACACAATCAAACGCYATGTTATCACTATGGTCGTTAAAATCTGCCGATTTCTTATAAGAGATATCAGTTTCGAGGTTCACAAAGAGCTCAGAGATAGGGAATGAATTTCTTGTGCGACGAAGCAAGGAACGAGAGGAAGAACGATTTCAAAGCATGATGGTTAGATTCGGCGGTGTCGAGGAAAGCACAGACAAGGACCCAACCTTAAATACTCGCTGGTGGAGGCGGAGACGATGGARGMGGARGCTACCGGAGACGGGGAYGGCGACTGTGGAATAGAAGCGACGTGCGTGAAGAGAGGGGTTGGGAAGAAGGCGACACAGCAGCAACTCGGGAGAGGAGGCGAGATCGACTGGAAGGAGGAAGGAGGGTGGGAGGAGACGAGATCGACTGGAAGGAGGAAGGAGGAAGGAGGAAGGAGGGCAAAAATGGAAGAAGACCCCTCTGAATCGTTGAGGGGAGCCCTAGCCCCTAAATGGTTAAGAGCCTTTTGTAACCATTAAGAGGTTCTTTTTTTGTTGCCAAACAACCCTTGCCTCTTAGCGAGGCTCTTAATGAACAGACCCTAACCCTATCCTAGGGTCCTTTGGATAAATGATCTTAAATGAGTTTTCAATTAGGAACATGACCTTCTAAAACAGAATTAGCTCAATGACCTTCGTCTGACCTGCATTTAAGGCGGTATGCTCTTGGTTCAAAATAATTTGCTCTCATAAAAAGGTTAGAAATACACTAGAGGGGCATTTTGCAAAACGAGCTTCTGGAGATGGTCATTGAGCTACATAGCCCCCATTTCCCATGGTGTCTTTAGGTATATGACCTTAAATGAGATTTTAATTAAATCCATGACATTCTCATGATTACGGAACCATTTTTTTAATAGATCAAGAGGTCAAGGATTTAATTAAAATCTCATTAAAGGTTATATACAATTACGGGATTATTCGTTAGCAGCTTAAAGAGCATAATGAGACTCGCAACTTATTCGGTCAACTATACATGACTGTTTGGTAGTGGCTTAACAATATAGAAAGTAGCTTATCCAGTACGCTTCTAGAGGGGAGCTTTATGCAGAAAGTCAAGTTTTTCTAAACCTATACCTCCCAATTAAAAACCACGCTTCTTCCATTTATGAAAAAACTCTCCCGAGCAAAAACCTTCCCAATTTATACAAACAAATTAATCCACACTGACAGCTTTATCCATACATGACTTATTGGGAATCCAACCAAACAATCCCTAAATCACCTATCCCACATCCTCTAACTCTCTTGCTCCCTTCCTCCCATTAACACTAGCTACAAATCCCCACCCTACTCAGCTACGTTACCTATCAGGGGCCATATCCTCAAAAATACCTAAAGCCACCATGTTCAACCTCAAACACGATATTATTTTGGTAAAATGTGAAGTGAAGGTTGCTTTCCGCTTAAAAATAACGATAATAACCGAAAAAAGCTAGATAAAAAAAGACTATAATTTCAATATCACTTCCCAAATAAAGCTCCTTTCAAAACCTTAAGATGCTATTCATTTTACATAGTTGATCCCCAATTTATTTCATGAGCCTTATCCCCGTATTTTCTTTTGCACCGCCCATGGCCTGCCCATTTGTTAGTAACAAGTCGGTCCAGGCCCACCCATTTGTTAGTAACAAGTCGGTCCAAGCCCACCCATTTATTCAAGAACGGTAGTCAAAGCCCACTTTTCTAGCGGGCCGGACAGGGTGGCTGACCCGTAAACAGCTCTACCTAAAATAATGGGACCAAAAATCACATCCTCATCCCTCCATCGACCATATTCTAACAAGATGAAGATGTTCAGAACAGCATCAATGAAATAGAAATTCTATCCCAAATGCTAAATCGTCTGAAATCAAGCGTAATTTACAAGCTCAAAATTCTCAATTTCGTTATTAAGAGCAAAATCAATGGATTTAAGATCATCTAAAGCTTTGCCCTATAAGATCATCTATAGCAAAATCAACCAATTTCATCAATAATTTCAGTCGAATCATAGACTATAAGGCATAAACACCTCTGAAATACGACAAACATAAGAATCATCACAAGGAAATCGCTCTGGAAACAACAGTACAATAATGCGATTTGCAAATATTAACAAATCCACACCCAAATCGTGATGAAAAAAAAATCAAAAAACAACAAAATCATAAGAGAACTGACCTGCAGAAAAGACCCATGTGAGACATAAACCAATCAAGTTTCCATGAATTCCATTAATTACACCTCTGAAATCGCTACGGTAATAGTAACAAATGACACCGAAATCATAACCAAAAATCAACGAAATCATAAGAGAACTGACCTTCAGAAAACACCCATACGAGCCTCGATCGGATTATTCGGCAGGTAGAAAAGGAAACTGAAAAATTCACCAGGCGATCTGATGAGAGAATTATGACAGAAATTGAAACTAAAAGGAAGATAAAAGGTGTTCGGAATCGTAGATTGTTAGGTCACCCAATTCGATTTTAGAAATTTGAGAGTAAAAAGACCACTGGTTCAATCGAAATTTTGGTAATGGTGTGATTTGATGGCAACAAAAAGATAGAAACACTAGATGAATGAATGTATATATATATATATACGTACATGTTTGGCTGTTTTATGGAACCCCACGCCACCCCACCCCACCCCACCCCACCCCAAACACAGGCTTCTAGAAGCTTTACATGTTGATGCTTAATCAAATTAAAGGGATAATGTTAAAATCGATCTATTAGAAAATGAATTTTAGGGGCGGTTTACAAAGGTAATCGTTTATCAAGTCGTATTTTTTTTTACCGAATGAATATGATGAGGATAAATAATCTTACCTGATAAAAGCAAAGACAAGGACCGAGAGTCTTACCCTGTAAGTAATGGCGACAACTCTTACCACAGTTAGTGCTTACCGGATGGATTGTTACATACGTTGTCGTTTAGTTAGACTAAAATCTTACCCGATAAGTAAGCGATAGAGTTAAATTTTACCGTTAAGTCTTACCGGATAAGTGTATGGGTAAACGGCCCCTTAATGTTGATGTGTGTGAAGAAGAAAGTATTGGGTATGGTGCATTTAGTCTCCTCCTTAGAATAATTACAATAAATTAACAGTAAGAGTCTGTTTGTTAGTAGCTTAATAAGTTTAATAAATCTCACAGCTTATTCCGTCAATTATACATGATTTTTTGGTAGTGGCTTAATGATAAAAGTGGGTTATTTAGTAAGCTTTTAGTTGATTTTATACAAAAAATCCAAGTTCTTTTTCCAAACCTTTTACTTCCAATTAGAAAGCATGCTCTTTATATATATACTAGAAGGGTGCTCGCACAATGCAGCGAGATACATCTTGATTTTAATATTTTATTTTATTATTTATCTCGATCGATGTTATAGTGTGGTTTTATGTGATTTTGAAAAAAAATATGATATTTTTATTTTTGAATAAAATATAAATTTGAAGATTTCATAAAAAATTTGACAAAAATATATTGATATTAGTATCAAATTAACTTTTTGGGTAATCTTTAATTCAATTTTTTTATTATAATTTAATTTAGGTTCAATAACAAAGTACTTTATATTTGATTTAATAATATAATTTTCTTATAAAGATAATAATTAATTATTTTGTTAGAACTCGATAATTATCCTAATTATATTTTAGATTTTTTAGATTTTAAAATGAGATGTTTATCCTCTATTTGATTATGTTTATCCGAAGTTAGTTACACGAATTCAAACATGGAGCTTTAAAGTTGTCCTTATGTATTATTTACTTGTAATGTTGAATTTTAAGTAATATGCATCAGTATACAGTACTCCATGCATAAAAATGGTTTTTACGAGTTTTTGTCAAATGCTTTATAATATAGTATAGATATATATGAAAAAAAAACTCTCACAAACAAAAATTTTCTCAATTTATACAGACAAATTAATTCACATAAACATCTTTATTCATATAAAACTTAATGAAAAACCAACCAAACAACTTCTAGATTACAAGGTCCATGCAGTTTAAATTACAAGGTGGCCATTGTGTTTTATACAAACGTCCAGATTTGGTATCCATCTCTAACACCCGTCAAAAATTATGTTAAATGAGGAAATTTTCGTTATTTTATCGATATTATTGTCTTTTACGCAATCAATAACCACATGAACCACAAAAAAATCAATAAATGACAAAAGTGCCCCTCATTCAAGAGAAAACCTGAACGTTTTTACAAAGTACAATGAACGTCTTGTAATTCAAAATTGTAGGGACGAAAAAACGACAAATCATAGCTTGACGGGTTTTTCTTAATGCAGTTTTCGAGTTTAGTTTGAAAAAAATGTATGCTGGAATCTAGAGCTCGAAAATATACATCAGAATTACGTTTGTTAAAGTGAACTTAATTAATAAGCTTGGACAGCTTCAGAATATCTATCAGTATCATGTTGGTTAACTAAAACATATATACCAAAACTTGACGAGAAAAACATGCATATTAACATATGCATAAGGCTCGGAAAGCACGATAGGAAATCAAGTCGAGATTTATAAATCCGGTTTATTGTATACTAGAAGGTGATCGTGTAATACAGCGAGATACATTTTTTTAATGTTTCGTTTTATTTTTTTGTCTTTGTTGATATAATGTGGTTTTGAGAAAGATAATGTTTTTACTTTTGAATAAAAATAAATTTTATTAATATCAAATTAACTATTTAAAAGTTATCGTTTTTTTATAATTTATTTAATTCATTTTTTTTAATAATTTAATTTAAGTCAAATAATGAAAGTAGTTTATTTTTGACTTACAATAAATTTTTCTATAAAGATAATGATTATCATAATTATATTTAGATTTTTTATATTTAAAATGATATGTTTATCCTATATTTGATTATTTTTATCTGTAATAAGTTATACGAATTCAAAAATGAAGTTTTAATAAGTTGTACTTACGCACAATTTACTTGTTCTTAAATTTTAAGTAATATGCATTAATACACAGTACTTTATGCATAAAGAATAATTTTTAAAAGTTTTTGTCAAATACTTATATATATATATATATATATATAAATTTCGCTCTAACAAATTCTTTATATCTTTTAAAATAGAAAAATAAGTGAAAACTTCAAGTTTACGTTGTGTTCTTGACTCTTTTTTTACAAATGAAAGGAAGAGAAAGGAAAAGAAAGTATAAGAAAGAGAAAAAATCCGGTATTTTTGAGTTTTTTTAAAGAGGAAAAAAAAGGTAAGAAAATAACGTTGATTTTCCTCCCAACACTATCTTCCAAAATTCGAGAACGCAACATTAAATAAATTTTTTAGAACGTAATGTGTGGAAAAAGAAATGATTTTTTTAATTAATTCTCACCCAGAAGATTTAATTTTTATCTGATATAAAGTTGTTTAAAAAATATCTCCGAATAATAAAATTATACAATATTTTAATAATATAATTAATGTTTAAATCTTTAAAATTAAAAGGGCAAATTGTATTAAAAAAAGTAACGTACTTTAATGTAATTCTTATTTTGGGTAACGTACATTGAAAACTTTCATTTTGGTACATAATATGTAAAGTTTTAAACATTTAAATACTCGGGTAACTGGTTGAAGTATTAACCAGTTACCATGTTGATGTGGTATCCAACCCAGTATTATTTGATGAAGTATTAACCGGATACTACATCACTCGCCACATCAACATGGTAATCGGTTCATGCTTCAACCAGTTATCCGAGTATTTAAATGTTTAAAACTTTACATCTTAAGTACCAAAATGAAAGTTTTCAAGGTATGTTACTCAAAATATGAATTCAGTTAATATACGTTACTTTTTCATACAATTTATTTTTTTAAAAATTATAAAGAATCTGTTGGATATATATATAAAAGACATAAGCTTATATCAACCTATTTTTATTAATAAATCGAATATAATTGGCTATTTAATTACTATATTAATTAATTAATTATATTTTTATTAAAATAAATTTTAGATAAATAGCAAATATGATCTTATGTTGGTTGTTGGTTGATGGTTGATGGATCCCCATCATGTATGGATGATGCATCCCCGCCATGTATGTATGTATGATGCATCCCCACAATCATCAATTGTGATGCTAAGTCTTGTTGGTTCAATAATTACCCAACACCTAATTTTCCAAAATAGATATATAAAAATATATATTTTCATATGCATTTAATGAGGTTCACCTATGTTACTTCTATTTTAAGCATTTTTTTATAATATAATGAGATACAGTTTAATTTTAATGTTTTATATTATTATTTATTTATATTGATATAAGGGAAATTTATAAAAATAACCGGTTTACACAACCCTTTGCCACAAAATAACCACATTTTAGAGGTTTTGCCAAAATA